GTGATGTTTGTAAACAGGCATTTGGAATTAAAGGCATAGGGTCCCTAGGCGATTGATATTGCACTATCTGCGTTTTCCCTGTCCTGGAGCACCGTTCTCGTAAAGCACATGACGTCATGGGCCAATATCCCCTCCAGCGCATTGTGCAAATAGTGACACGTAATCACCCCCACGTGACCTCAACACTGCTAGATACATTCCAGCACACATACAAAGCCAATGTGAGCCAGCGCGGCAGTGTATTATCGCTCCAACTTGAGCTCACGTACTACCCACCACGTCACTCTTCTCTCCTCATGCAGGCCGTCGTACACTCGCGACCGCGAGCTCCAGCCACTGCGGCACCAAACAGCGTCTCCAGCTGCTATAACGTGCTCGTAACACAAGACAACAACGTCATTCCGCAGACGCTTGAAGTTCCTCCCCTTCCGTAGCGGCTCGACCGTCGCCGTCCCCACTCGGCAGCTTTGTCACTGTCTTCGACCGTTTCTTGCGCTTCTTGCGCTTCGCAGGCGCTTTAGGCTCCTCACTGCCCATCACAGGCACTTTGCCTGCACTGCCCTTCGCAGGCGCTTTGCCAGCACTGCCCTTCGCAGGCGCTTTGCCTGCACTGCCCTTCGCAGGTGCTTTGCCTGCACTGCCTTTAGCCCGTGCACTGTACTTGGCACTCGCCCACGCAGGCAGCTCTGGCAACTGCACCTTCTCGCCCGCGCCCCACCGCTTGTACAAATCTTCGACATACATGTGCTTGATCAGTCCTGGCGGGCGCGCGGCTTTGAACGCGGCCAGTGCGTCTGTGACCGAGTACGCGAGTCGCTGGACCAGATACGTCACTACGAGGTACCCCGTGCGATTGAGCCCGTGGGTACAGTGCACAGCAATAGTCCCCTCTGGTGTCTTGGCCACAAAGTCGTCCACGAGGGCCACAAATTTCTTCACTTCTTTGGCGTCCGGTGGTCCGTAGAACCCTTCGATCGGGAGCTTCAGATACCGCACACCCGAGTTCTTGAGCTCTTTGTCGCCATTGTAGTACTTGGACGTGTTGGTCAGGTCAATCAGGAGCTTGACATTGTACTTTTGGTCCCGCTGCAATGCCAAAAAGTCCCGCGGGGTCCAAATTTGGTCCCGTTTGGTCTCCAATTGCGGCAAATAGGTCTCGTCCAGCGGCACGCGGAGCGGGGCAAACCGCGAGGTACCAACGAGTGTACCCATTTTGGCCACATCGACCCAATTGTCCGGGACCCGGTGCTTGCCTTTGCCCATTTTTTTGGCAGCAGCTTTTCGCCACTCGTGCTTTGGATAAAACTGCGCCTTGTACGCCTTTTTGGACCGCGGAGAGCGTACTAAGGGAGTGCGACTGCGCTTAGTACGACGGGAAGGCGCAGTAGCAGCAGCAGCAGCACTGCGGTTGGCGCTTTGGTCCATGCGGAGGCGCGAGCGGGGGGGAGACCACGCGTTTTGAGCACGTGGATCCAGCAAATGGGTTGACTGACTGGCTTTCGGTGCCGTTCGTCGCTTGATTTTTATCCCGTTTTTATATAAAGCAGATAAACACCGAATGTGAGCAGGTGGGCGGACAGACCAGAACAACATGGCTACATCTGGGCTCGAGTCAGCGGCAGTTTTACGTATAGCACAACATACAAGAGTTGAAAACAGGCATTCTGAGTTAGGGATATGTGGCGAACTGAAGACAGGAGGGTAGAGCGTGAATTTCTGGGCCGTGGCTCGTCATGTCGTTTCCGTAGTGTGTAAGTAGTGGAGTATGTGTCATTGCGTGGCAGTGTGTCCTCTTCTCATACAAAGTCATAGAATGACATGTTGATGTCGACAGCATGTGCTTGTGATGAGTAGAGAACGAGACTAGACATGAGAGGGAAAACGTCGTTCAAGCTTCGAATTGATCTCGGTGCGCTTCGAAGCGTCGTATAGGTCTCTCTTCATCAGCACGAGGTAGTTCACATATTGGTGTATGCAAAAGCTCAGTTTTGTGTACACGACAAGCCACGGCCTTTGTCCTTCGGCTGAAGACAGAGCGCATATCGTTGTGTAACAGCTCGACGTACTGACCAAATCCGGTCATTCGTACGCACGTGTGCCTCATCGCGTTTGAGACCGTAAGAGGTAGCAAAAGATGGCTCATCGATTGCTTTGGTCGACGCCGGTCAACACAACACTTAAGGTGTACCTGGAGACGCAATCGAGTAAGTAGTCGCTGTCGATTTCGAAGGCTTACTACCACTATTGATCGTTGCACCCAGTTGCATGAAGATTACAATGGTTGCGAGGTAAAAACTTAAAGTGTAACGAGATTAATGCCGACGACAACGATTTTGTCGATTCTGCGTAAAATAGCAGATGAACGACGTCGGTCACATACCTGTTTGCGTACATGAATCCGTTGTCGTCGTGGTGGTGGTCTAGAAGAATTACCGACGAGATTGTTCAAGCAAAGTTTGGTAAGAAGTACGAGCACCCCAATTGCACGATAGCGACTTAGTATCGCCGGACAAGAGTATCCGGCATTAACACCGGCACGCGTGGCTGTCCTTCTAGTTCAGTTGCAGTCGCTAGCAGAACCTTGTCAGCAGCACCATCTCAGTGTTGTAGACATCAGGAATCTGAGCTCCGACGTTGACCTCGCAATTCCAGCATCGATACTGCATCGACAGCGAGCAGGGAAGTACATGTGCTGCTAAACCAGCGCAGAATACTAGATGACACAACGTGATGTGGAGCGATGGTCGCTCCAGCCGATCCTGTCGCATACGGAACGCGGACGAACGCAAGCACTGAAAGTTGATCACGATGGAAATCACCGACGAAAAAAGAAGGTTCGGATCATGATGTCATGTGAAGCGCAAAGGCCTTTGTGAAGTGCAGGTGCTGTTGGTGATGGATCACTGATACGCTTCAACATACCAAAAATCACTTCAAATGCCCATCGAGAAGAATCGAAGAGCTTATAGCGTAGACAATGCCAGCTCATAATCGATGCATCGTTGTACAAAAACAAACCCCGTTGACATTTTCACAGAACCACATATTACTTTTTTGTCTCGTCGTCTGTTCAGGTGGTGACAGGTTACACGGGTACCGCAACGTCGTGCGGTATGCGTCTGTTTACATGGGTACAGCAACGTTTGACGCGCTGAAAATTGATTGATGTAAGAAGGGATCTCGTATGTAGAACATTTTGCGCAACGTCGGGAAGGAGGCAGCAGATCTGGTATAGTGAAAAAGTTGTGAACGTCAATGCTTAAGCCGTGAGCGAGTCATTTTCGAGTATGTTCTGCATGTGAAGATGTGAAAGACATACGCGTTGGCCGGTGGCCTACCGAAGCTTGTTTTGACGTCAGCTATGTAACGGAGTGAGCCCGTGACATAAAAATAGGTACGAAAGTATCAATTTTTGAATATTATCTATTTTGATAATATTCAATCAACATCACTCGAGAAAAGTGATGTTGTCGGAAATTACCTCTAAGGGTAATATCCGTGGAGGGGTCCACTTCTTGGTTGATGTACACGGTACATCAACCAATTTAACCATCGATCGCTGTTGGATGCGCGCAATGGGCAGTGGACAGAAGACCCACATAGTAGACAGTAGTTTAATATGGTCAGATTAAGACGAAAGATGATTTAGTAAGAAACATAACTATATTAAAAAACAGTTCTACTTTTCCCTCAAGACAGAGCTTTCGGGTTATGTATTGTCTTGGTCGCGCTTCATCACGCCAAGTGTACGTGACGTCGGGGGTAATCACACTTGTACTGTTATGAATACAAGGCCTTGCTCGGTTATCTGAGTAAGAGCGTGCCCCGTTACACCTGGTAGCACTTCGTAGTCCTTCCGACGAACACCCATCTCATCCATCATGAACATGATATATGAGGGAGAGAGCTTCATTTTACACGTGAAGGCTTCGCCCATTGGAGTGACCTAGAATTGGCCGTGGTCGTGCGAATGAGCCCTACCGTGGGCGACATTGGCGTTACCGCTATGTTAGAATCTCTTGACCGAGACTAACAACAAGCAGCTATTGACAGGTTCATTAGAATGAACTTGTCGCCGAAAGAGAGAAAGTAGACTTGCTATACCAGCGAGGCTCTCAACAGGCTGATCAATTGAAAGAACTCGGTGCTCAACAGCCATAGCTGTTGAGACAGCAACAATTTAATGCTGCTGTGGGCGGGACGAGACACACGCGTCGCCCCGAAATCTTAAAGTTGACATCTCCAAGTACAGAGGAGTCGAGGAAGACTCCCTGTTGTGGTAATTTGTCGAATTATACAGAGCCATAAAGACACGTCGCATCGACGATGAGCAAATGAAATTCACATTTCCTCTTAAACACTGAGGGATTAGGCTCTCAGCAACCTGTGGAAACAAGTTTCCAGGAAGAAAACGAGACGTTGAACGTTTTGGTCAATGACGGATCAAGCGTAGGCGCTTATACGCTTTATCTGATTGTTCCTCCGAAGTTAACTTCGGAGATAACTGAATTGCCAGCGCTAGAACCGAAACGGTTCATGCGCGATCTGCGCAGTAATAAGGTCGATTAGATCTGCATACTCGTCACAGAGGATGAGTATGTGACCGACATTCGGTCGGCAACAGAATTTTCTGAGAACGAACAGGTTCTCAGCAGCTCATCGATGGACGAAAGTGTCCTCGATGAGAAGACTAGGATTGAACGGTACACGTCTCAATCCTGGGAGTCGCTTCAGGCAAATCCTTTGTACAAGGATTTATTCGAATTTAAGGATGAGTTCCTTGAATCCGTTCCATGCGAGTTGCCGAAAGACAAAGGCACTCGACATGAAATCGAACTCTAACCGGGCTCGAAGTACTGTGTCATGAAGCAGTGTCCGCTGCCTCGTGAACAAGTAGTAGCGATCGACAAGTTCTGTGCCTATCGCTTTGCAGCGGGTCATGTGAGGGAATCAACTTCTCCTCACAGCTCTCCGACCTTCTGTGTGCGAAAAGCCACAGGACGATGGCGGATAGTGCACGCATTCAACAAGTTGAATGCTGCAACGGCACCGGCTCAGACGCCGATACCGAGGAAGGACGTAATCATAGATGGTATGTCTAAGAGTACCATATTCTCGTCCAGGGATCTGATGGATGGATTCTATCAGATCATCATGCGTGAACGGGACATTCCGTACACAGCAGTGAGCACCCCCAGCGGTATGCTGTGGGAGTGGCTAGTGATGCCACAGGGGCTTTTTCGACTCCCCTTCAAAATTCAACAGATGTGTAACTAATCTGTTGAGACCGGTGCGGGACTTCGCCCAGAGTTACTTTGATGATGCGTTCTTCCATAGCCGGGCTATGGACGGAAAGACGGACGTTGAAGTTCACAGAACTCACGTACGTCAGGTTCTTCAACTTATGCGCAAGCATAAGTTGTACGCCAACCTCAAGAAGTGTATATTCGCGGCTAGCGAAATACCACTTCTTGAGTGCATCGTGGGTAAACACGGCGTACGCCCTGATCCCGAGCAGATTAAGGAGATCACGGACTGGCCTGTGTCATTCGATATCAAGGTACTTCGTAAGTTCCCTGGGCTCGCGGCGTACTTGCACAAGAACTCGCGCAACTACGCCGAGATAACTGTGCATCTTTCTGGTCTACTCAAGAAAAATGTGAAGTGGTCATGGAACGCTGAGTGTCAGCGTTCCTTCGAAGGTGTCAAGCAGAGCTTGATGCAATCGCCAATTATAGCGATTGCAGATCAGGACAGACCATTTCATGTGGTCTGTGACGCCAGCGATTTTGCAATCGGCTGTGCGTTGGTGCAATTCGACAAATATGGCGCGGAACACGTCATCTGCTATCAACCGCTTCAACTGCAAGCAGCTGAACGTAAATGCCCGGTGCATGAAAAGGAAAACGTTGCCATGAAGTATGCAATGGCTAAGTTCCGCGTCTATCTGTTGGGAGATAGACCGTTCATAGTCTATACGGACCATGCGTCACTACGCACGGCCTTTAACATTCCAACCTCTCGCAAAGGATGGAGAGGTGGCTGTCTTTCTTCGCGGAGTATAAATTTTTCGCCGAGTATAAAGCAGGACGACTGAACGTCGTCGCTGATGCGCTCTCACGCCGATCCAATTTCGAGTCGGGCGCGCAACCCAACAGTGAAGATAAGTCCACTGTTGCAACGCTTACATCCAGTGTGCCGTCGTCAAGTGTACCTGACGACGTAAGAAAGGCATACGCCGAAGATAAGGATCTTCTGCGCTT